ACAGACGCGAGCGGTGTTCAGTTATTTGCAATCTGCAACTTTACTGCTAGATGACGCTAAATATTACGTACTGGTCCTTTAAATGGTGATTTATGAGCGGGTGGAAGAGGGGCAGGGTCTGGGATATAATGTGTTTTCAGCTTGAGCAACTGTGTTTATGTGTGTGTGTGTGTGTGTGTGTGTGTGTGCCCACTATAAACAAATACGCTTGTTTTTCAGCTGAACAGAGGAAAACACCCTCAGGCTCAGGAAACAGACACCACTGTGAGTGTGTGTGTGTGTGTTTTGTATTTCTATACTTAGGAGGATTCAAATGTCCTCATAAGCAAAAGATTTTTGCAGAATTTTGACCATTAAAACTAAAATTGTAGTTGCAGGAGTAAACATAAAATGTCAGTAAATATCGGTGCTAATGTCATTCATACTTTATGAATGTGTGTGTGTAGCAGATGCCAGTGTAAGCACTCTGTCACAGCAGCCTGTAAAAAGCAGCAGTGTGTTTTATGAGCAGTTGGACTACCTGTTGGCTCAGTGTTGGTTTCTGTCGAGCTCGTTGTGCAGACAGTTCCCACAGTCGGAGCGTTCTCACTCCAGGCTCCTTGGCAGGAAACCTCATCCTCTCTCTCTTTCTCTCCCACCTTCTTCAGCCTCTTCACACACACACACAGGATTTCTTTTCTGTGCTGTAAAATGAGCACCTGTAGCCCTTCTCGCTCTCTCGCTCCACTTTTTCAGCCCGTGCTGTCTGTTTTCAGAACATTTTCATTCCTCTAAAGCACTAATAGTCCTTCACATCTTTATCTGGTCATATCGGCCTAATGAGTTTATTTTTACAGTAGACCAATTTGGTCAAACTACCTCCAGTTTCCCACAACCATTTTCTTTCCTTCATTTCAAAGAATTCATTTTAACCTCACTTAAACTAAACACGTGACTCGTCTCGTCCGTGCTCCTGTAGGTTTGGGAACTGGCCTTTGTGGTTGCTGTTTGATGGATTTCTTGGCAGCTCAAGAAAGAAGCCCTCACTCTTTGTTTCTGAAGGACTGAGGAAAATCTGACCTTTACTGTATATTAATGATCAGACTCTGATGTTTACATCAGGGTGTGGATCCTATAAAGAGGGGTTATAATATCAAGTTATAAGTTATTTGCTTTCTCCGCCAGTACTCTGGGTGGGAAGGATATTACTTTAGAGGGAGAAAAACAAGAGAAAATGTGGAATACAATTCTCTGTGAACTCTCTTTCAATAAAGATATATGGCAAAAAAAAAAACCTAAATATAACTTATTTCTTTCAGTAGGTGTTGTAGTGCAGACATTTTCAGAAGTGCTTTTAAAGTCTTAATAAAATACTAATCACTAATCATTTTGTCCTCAGCACATGGCCTACCTTGCCATGAATTTGTTCATGGTCAAGCTTTACTTTTTTAAAACCTCCTGTTAACAAACACACAAACCAACAGGACTAAAATTAAAATCAACCCAAAACTTACATATTGTCATCTTACCCCACGAAAAGACCAAAACCAACAGTATTAATCTGTGTATCATACTTCCTGACCTCCCTCTCCTTTTCTGTGGCACTCAGCTCCAAGCACACTGAATCTGACGAAAGGTCAAGGAACAGTTTTATTTTTTTTTAAAGGCTCAGTAATCTCCTGAAACAGCTGGGCACTGTAGTTTTTAGTAAGCATTATTCAAACAGGAGGCATTTGTTGGGGACTATTTTTAGCTGCGGATGAAGATTTGGCAGCAGGAAGGTGTGTGTGAGATTGAGTCAAAATAAACTACAGTGTGTGTGTGTGTGTGATCATGGTAATGGAGGAACATGTCACTCGGTGCAACAGTGTGACTCACTGATGTGTTTTTAACAGGTTTTGTGCAACAATAGAGCTCTATGGCGCAGAGGAAGCAGATCTATTAGGCTTTGATGCACAATACTTGCTGGTAGATTCATTCTCTTGGAATTTCTTGAAACATCCACAATATCTTTTTTTTGAGGCGTAAAGCTCTAACTGGCTGCTGAGATCACATCCTTCTACAGAGAGCGGTCACAGGGAAAAAGGGGACAATGAAATGACATCACCTGTCATTTCTTTAGCCCATGATGCCATTCAGCTCAGTCGGCTCACATGTCCAGCCCCCTCCTCCCCCCTCTACTACTGGATATGTTCCAGATTGGTCCCTGGAAGTTCCTGGACAGCGGGATCTATTGTAATCCCAGCTCTTCCTTACATCTTTTATAGTCCCGTGAACAGCTCGGCGTCCAGCTCCGCTCCCTGCTGACAAACATACATGTAAACAAAGCCTGAAAACAAAAGCACACTGTCCCCGAAGCCCCCCCCACCCTGACCCTTTCTTCATACTTCATACTTCATCCCGCCATTGTATAACTCTGCTTCCTCAGGGAATTTGGACCTCAGACGTACAGTAGCCTCAAAAGCACACTCAAGCCATTTTAACTTATACAATATGTTTATTTCTGTAAACATGGCGGTTATATTGGCAACAACATACAAACACCTTCACATTCCGTACAGTAAGTTAAAGTAGCTTCATAGATACAAAAAGAGAGATGTACACATGGGGAGGGAAGTGTATGGGGAAGAGGTGGTAGGGTCACTTTGTCCAGGAGAAACAAGGTCAGCACAGAGCCCCAGCCCCCCATCTTCAGTCCAACACCGATCCCAGTTCAGCTGGAAGACCCTCCGCCTGCCTCCACTGTGCGTTCCGCAGCTTGAACCATTTCTGGAGGAGACAGAGAGAAAAGGACGGAGGCAGGTGTTAGGAACAGGTAACAGGAGTTTTTTTGTCCGAGGCACTCAGCTGCGTTTGGCACAAACTGCTGCAGAGCCTGAAAGACGAGAGCGATGAGGTAACCGGTCCAGCTGTCATGAATATTCCTGAGAAGTAACACAGGTGGAGTTCTTATATTGTCACGAATGATTGAAGCAAATACTGGGTTCTACAAATCCATTGTCATGCGTTCCTCATCCTCAGGCCGCTGGTTGTGTTTACATACACAACAATTATTTAACCATCACTCAGAGTTGAGCTCAGCTGTCTATATGATTCTGAACCAGGCAACCTAATAGTCCTGCTTACATGAGCTGCATTCAAGCAAGACACATGAGACACTAAAACAACTATAGTAATTCTAATGAGCAACTTAAAGACCTGTGAAATGTTTCAACTGGTGTCCATTACAGTTTGTTTTGATGTAATTTGAGCATTGTAGCCTCTAGCCTGGCTATAGATTTGTAGTCCTGTTCATAATAAAACTACAAATGTGTATTTTCATAAGGCTGCTATCGGCTTGGATAAAGTAATAATTAATTTAGCTTTAGCATGTGCTCAATTTCTCAAAGCATCAGCAGTGGACTTGCATGTTTCCAGCCTGTTACCTGGAGGCATTTTGAAAATAATATACTACGCTATGAGTATGACATGGCTAAAGTTAGTATGTTGACAGCTATTGGAGTTAACATATTCTCACACTGAGCATGTAACGTTTAGCATTCTAACGCTAGCCCTTAGCATGATAACATCCATGTAAACAGCTACTGAATTGAACATGTGTTGACATTTAGCATGTCAAATTTTGCATTTTAACATTAGCATGTTAGCATCCAATTAGACAGCTACTGAAATTAGCATTTTAACATTTTGCATTTTAGCATCCCAACTTGACCATGTTAACATGCTGTTGAATTTAGCTGCCATTTAGCATGTTATATTACAGAAAATGTTGCTTAGCCTAGCTTAGCTTAGCTTGTTATCATATTAAAAGCATAGCATATTAGCGTCTAAAGTTAGTTGGGTCTGTTTGAGTAATGTTTTGGCATCTAAAACATCAACTTAATGCAGAATTAATGTTTTGTTCAGGTTAACAATTGAAAAGGTTTTAGGATGGTCTGAGTTGGAGTGTAAGGATCATGGAAATATCTTCATACCAGTTGTTTTCAGTTTTCTTTCAAATCTTTTTTGTTGGTTATTTCTGTGACCAGAGTGCAATCGTAAACCCAGAAACCCAAATATGAAGCCTATAATTAAAAGCGAGTCATTACCTGTAGCTATGTTCCTTTCATTATTATCATTATCTTATAATCACATTACAGTCACATTTCTTGGTGCATGTAAATGTGGTCACTGACTCATACACACACAGCAGTGACCCTAAGGCTAAGTTGTATCAGGGAAACCACAGAAGACGAATGTTTCCATCCAGTTTTAACAGGGAATGCAGGCAATGACTGGCAGGCTGTTCCTCTGAATCCATTTCCCTGCAAAAGCTGTCTGCACTCTGACCGCTCCACCAATAACTGCAACACTGAAACTCGGCCAGATGATGACTGTGCCGAGTGCCTCGACACACACCCGTGACCCGGCGCATTGCTGTTTTGCGATTCATGTTGTCATGGGATTCACAACAATGCTGACATCATCTCGATAACGCCGACGGGAATGGGAGGGATTCAGGACGGCGGCCTTAAGACACAAAACCCTGGCTGGCTGCGCGAGACATGCGCCTGGCAGGAGGGACGGTTTCCACATTTTGTAATGAAAACACATGAGATTCCCATTTGGAGTCATCTGGGCTTGCATTTATGCAGAGACTAAATCAATTCAAGAATTGGCTGTTCAAGCTGCACTCTGTGTTTTGGGATTTAATATTTGCAGTCTATTGAAGGTTTAGTCTTTAAAAATGCTCACTTGAAGGTTTTGAATGGAGGTCAGTTGTTTTGTACTTTGTTTTGTTTCTGGTCCTTTTTCTTTGAATGTCTTCACTCAAATGCCACTTCAGAACAATAATGGTGAGATTTATAATCCCACTGACCCACACAATGGTGCTTGTGTCATTTTTTCCCCTTTGACTAGCACTGGATTACATAACGAGGCCTTTCAAACTTGACTCTACCTTTCTGTCATTGAGTGAAAACAAATGAAATGGTCTATGAAAGGAGCACAAACATGCCGCACGGAGGCTGAAGCACGTTGTAAATGTTGTGAAACGGGGAGTGGTAGCCGGGGCGTGTTTCTCCAGCTAAACCTTCTCCAATGAGAGCTTTGTTAGCAAATCCAAAACACTCGACAGGGGTGGTGGGGCGGCAGGAAGAAAAAGAAAGCCAGAGAAAAAAGAAAAGAACAAAACCCCACATCAGCTGGAAATGAAGGCAGATCTTTTGATGAGGGGCCAGACCTTTACCTCACCCCGGACCAGGCTTCCCCTGTCAGGTTGGCCTGGATTCTCCCACCTTTGTATACGATGAATGGAAACAGTCGCTAACGCTGGAAGAGGAATTAGGAAGCAGTGTAGTGTGGCTATGTGAGCATAGTGGGGCAGAAACCTCTGTGGATGGAGCCAAATAATGAAACCCTTCTGCTGCTCTAGTAAAGACAGACTGAAGATGGAGCCTGGCAGTAATAGCAAATTAGGTGTGTGTGGTTTGTCTGGGTTATACACTCATCCGACATAACAGAGGCTTTAAATCAGCACAGCTCTACCAATACTAAATACATTACCTGTTTATACGTGATGATCTGCTGCAGACTGCTTCTGTGTGAGAAATGTAGAGGTACTGGTTTGTGGAGTCCAACTGGAAAAACCAGTGACAAGCAGTGTGTGTGTGTGTGTGTGCCGTACGATGAGTTATTAACTGGTTAAATGTACTGTAAGAGCTAATTATTGAAAAGGACACACCGTCTGTCGGCCTCACAAGCACAAAGACATTTGCCTATGAATCCGATGTTACGTCAACTCAAATGGCAGAATTTACATGTAGGGTTTCACCTCCTCGTGAATACAGCTAAGCAAATGCTCATGTTGTTTGCCTGCCAAACACTGAAGAAGAATACCAACTTAGACTTTTTATTCCAAAATTAGACATTGATCACTTACAAACACTCGTATTTAATGAAGACTAACAGACTGCTTTTGTAATGATGTGTCCATCAGAGCAATGCTACTGGAGGTGCCTGCATAACCTGAGTACACTTTCAACATGTTGGTTGTTATCGGTGCTCTGAAACTTCACATCTGGCTCCTGATGTGACAGTTGTACAGACTTTACAGTAGGCCAAAGACATTCCTCAGATAGAGGGATGGTGGGAGTGTGTACATGTGGGAGAGGGGGGTGGTAGAGATTAAATACCTAAGTAACACAGCGACCTTTAATAGAATTAGCAGTTTTTCTGCTGAAGTTCATGACATTAACAATAGGTTTAACCGTTGCAGTCTGGTGGCTCTTTCCTGTTGGAGTGGGTGTTGTGCGTTAGCGGTTTCTGATTTGACTAATGATGTGTGTGTTAATGAGCTCTGCAATGATCAGTCTCTTAATCGATGGACAGAAAATCTTTTTTAAGCTTAAATTGGGAAAAAGTGCTGCTTTTCTTTGTCTTAACATTATAGTTCATTGAATATTTGTGGGTTTTCTAAACAAGACATTTAATGACAACAAACAGATTGTTTTTGTCAAACAAAACCAAACTGCCAACTTGCCAAAACTCAGAGATATATTTAGTTTACAAACTGAAATGCAATAAATGCTCACGTTTGAGAAGCTGTATATTAAAATTTATGCTGCACACACAGCTGTTAACCTCCTCGTACATCAAAACCAACTCAGAAAGAAAAAGTGTTTCCCACATCCGACCAAATATGAAAGCAGCATGAACACGAGCAGCGACAGCGACCACATCACCAGCTACAGAAGCTCAAACTTGTGCCACCCTCACAGTTTGATTGATCTTTCCTTCAAGTCACCTCCTGAAGTCACCCTGTGCTGATGAGTCCGTGTGAGACTGAACAGCGGTTGTTCCCAGAGCTGGAAAAAAAGCAGCGGGAAACTCGACTCTAACGTGACTTCATCAGGAAAAACAACCTGGATCTGCTCCAGTGGCGATCAGTGGGGCGCTGCTGCCTTTGTGGTCACTGTTTACACTCAGATGAGGATCATTTCATCAGACGGTGACGCTTTGACAGAAATATTGACCAGTCACCCTGAGCACTGACACTGTCCACAAACCTGCTCCAGTCACTCAGTGGATCACAGATTTTAAAGTCTCATTTTGCTCTTAGAAAAACAGACAAATACAAACATATTGTTTCCTCCTGTAGCACTATATGGTTATTGGTGACGCTGATAATGACACTGACGACATGACTTGTACATTTCATACTAATATTTGCAGAGATGCAAAGTAACAAAGTACATTTACTGAAATACTGTAGTTCAGAACAGTTTTTAGGTACTTTACTCAAGTGCTTTTTGGTACATTATACTACATTCAGAGTGAAACACAGTACTTTATCCTCCTCTGCTAGTTACTTCCCAAATTGTTATGCATTGCTTTAGATTAGTATCACTCTGAATCTGAACATGCATGCAAAATTACGCATTAAACAATTTAACACACCAACAGGCAAATTCTTAAGGAAGG